GAAGAACAACATAATACACCTCTTAAACATGATGTACGTTACTCCACATGAAAGTGAAAACAGTGCCCTTCCTGACTTCTTCAAGCAGTCAGTTTTATGTCCTGAAGCATGACGTTTAATTTTCCTTCCTACTAGCATATAAAAGAAAGCTAGTCCTTGAACTTGCCCTCACTAGCACAAGTAGTCCCCTTGACTTTAATGAATACTTCTGCATGCACTGTTCTATACACTTGAATAAGACTTCTCAGGTTAGGCCATTAATTTGCATAACTCCAATTATCCAGTCTCTGATCTCCTGTAAAAATGGTTCCACAAATTATTCTGATGTTCTCCATTAAAGTATTTTTCATTTCTGATGAAGGCATTTATTCTCTCCTGTGCAGAGCAATACAATTATCTGAACCTCAAATCATATGTTTGTTCTGCCAAGAAAAGCGAGTTGGTTCTGCTTTAGTGCTGACCTTTAAAAATGATTGTTCTCATGTCTTAAAGAGTATTGCTTCCAGCACCACTTAATTTAACTTGTAATGGCCAATGTAGTTTCGTATTTTTAAGCTGAATTGCCAAGCTTTCCTTTGTGTGTGTGTGTCTCTTCATGTGAGTGTCCCCAGCCACAGGAAGGAACTTGGAACAGTTCTCTTCTTTCCAGTGGTTTAGTTTTTAAAAAAGAGAACTGTTGAGTGATGTGTGATTACAGTATGGAAGAAGTTTATTGAGACACTAGTGTTATCATTAAATCATTAGGAAAGGAGAAACTTTATAGATCAACCAGATTGGCTAGGCATTGCTTTACCTATGTACCTAGAGATGCATCATGATGGTTTTTCAGGAGTTACAATTTAAAGCTTGAAGACTTGGGGAAAGCACCCTTTAAAAAGAAACTGGCAGCACATATTTACATATTGACTATTTAAATGGTCTTAGATCCCTTCCAACTTTGCAGTGCAACCGGTGTAATTCACTGTCCGGTTGTGCCCAGCTCCCAAGTAGCGAAAAGGTTTGTTAGAGCAACAGCATTAAGCATCATCTGGGAATCCAGGAGGCAAGTAAGAAAAGGCTGCTTAAAAAACAGTGCTTGAAAATGCTTAATTTTTTTCCACAAACTTACAAAGGTATGGCATGAACTAGCCTCAGATTTATCCCAGGTTGGAGTGTCCTTTGCAAATGAGGTGCAGCTTCTTGTTCATAGCTTTCCTATATTTTACTTTTCCCATTTCCATTAGTGAATTCTCTGATGCACTCTCCTGCCTGTGCTCCATGCAGTGTGGATTCCTGTTGCCCTTCTCTTTGGCCATCACCTGAATACCTTAGTCGTACCATCTTCTAGTCTTTGGTCTCTAAGGTCAGTGCCCTCAAGAGAGTGCTGTCCTGGCCCCACTGATACCAACAGCAGAGTGCCCATGGACTGAAAGGAGCCAGGGTGGCACCCAGACAGGTCAGCAGCTTGATGAATGACTTGGTGCTTGTACTTCTTTTTGTTTAAATTCAAGGCTAGTTGTTGACTGTGAATAAATATGTGTTGAACAAATATGCATGCAGCTATTGGCTTTAAATCTATAAAGCCTAGCTGTAGTCCCTGTAGATATGTCTAGAAATCAGAAAAGGCAGAACCACTTTCCTTTCTTTGATATGAATGATTTAGCCAAACCTGGTGCAGTCCCATATGGTCTAGGGGGACATCTATGTGGGGTTCTTCCGCGTAACAAATACTTTGTCAGAATGCATGAAGTCCCCTGAAGATGAGTTTCCTTCAAAAATAAATTAACCTGAGGCAAGGTTACCAGAGACCTTGTGCTAGTTTAAATGAACTCAGACTGGGGAGTTCTCATGGACAGCCAGCCTTACCATTGGGCTACAGCTTCTTCTCAGGTGACGTTTACAGTGCCCTGCCTTTGCCCAGCAGCCCCTAATGAAGTTTGATGCTGTGAATCCAACATGGAAGATTTCTACAGAGCTTTGCAGCATGATTTTCTTTAAATGAACTTTGGCTAACCCAAAGGCAGTCAATTAACTGGTGCTCTGTTCTCTTCCTAGAACTGAATGTGGTCGGGGTTTTGTTGGTTTTTTTTCCTTTGCACTCCCCTACAGCAAAGCAAGGAACTGCCAGATATCACCCCTACGGCTGAATACCTGAAAGTGTCAGTGTGAAAGTTTGCCTCAGAGGGGAAAGCCAAATTTTTCAATTGCAGAACATGCCTACACTCAGTCAAAAGGTGTGATTTCAGCTCGAGCCAAGCTTGGGTACATGCATCAACATGGTGCTCAGCTCCAGGCTACGTGTCCACATGTGTTCTCAGAGTCTGATTTCTTACAAACCCCTTTGAACTCGATGCAGTTGCAGATTGTGCTGTTTATCAGTACTTGAACTGGCTACATGAAAGCTCCTTGAGCTGTGTTCATGCCACCCACTGCAGCATAGGTGTGCTTGTCTGGAATTTTGGAGGAGCTATATCAATTGGAGTGCAGACCCTTTAATGTCAGGATCTGGGAATAGCTCCTGCCTTCACTGCTAATTCAAAGGCTTTGGATTTTCATCAAGACTTTTGATTTGCAACTTTATACTGTGCTTTCAGACAGATATTTCTTGCAAGAAACCTTACTCCTTGGGGAAAAAAAAATCCAACCCCTTTTGTTCTGTTTTCTGGAGCTTCTGGCTGAAGGCAACGGTAGATTTAAATATTTGAGTATGTCTTTCTTGCTTAAGTGAAAAAAAGGTCTTTTGTCCCCGGGACTGCATAGCTGTGGAGGACCTGCTGTTTTCCTCCAGTGGAACATTGGCTATGAAATCATAATTCCCCTTCCAAAAACGTACCCGGGCAGCTCTGGAGCATGAATCAAAGTCTCCTACGCTGTTGTCATACCATAAATACTTGGTAATGAAAGAGGATTTAGCTGCCTGACTCCCACGTTCAAATGAAACAACACTGCTAAATACCTACATATCGTGCTGAATAATTATGCCCAAGCGTGTGCTAATAGCCTTAATTAGCATGTTGTCAAATAATGTTGATGCAAAAGACTTCAGCACAAACTGTTTTATGAAACATAGTGCCTGCTAACGACTTCTTCCTTCTGGTTTTTAATCCCAAGCCCTAGAGTCCTTTTAGCAGCAATTATAAAAGTACCCAACGGAAAAGTTGCAAGTCAGTCCCCTCCTAGATCACCTTCCTGTGCCGGCACCTCTGTATTCATACAGATGCTATGTGTTGTCACCTCCTTCTGTCACTTTGACAACTTCAGCCTGCAGAGACGTTGGTGACTAATTTCTTTTCCATATCTTTTGAAGATTTCCAGAGGAAGGGATCATGCAGAGAGAAAATGAGAAGGGCTTTAGCCCTTAACTAGAACTTAAATTGGCCAATTCTGTGGAAGTTAATAAAAAAATGTTTCTATAAATATATTAACAACAAAAGGAGAGCCAAAGAGACATCATTTACTGGATGCAGGGGGAACCATAGTGACAAAGGATGAGGACAAGGCTGAGGTACTTAATGCCTTCTTTGCCTCAGACTTTATTAGTAAGGTCAGCTGTTCTCTGGGTACTCAGCCGTGAGCCAGAAGGCGGGGACAGAGAGCAGAACAAAGCTCCCATGATCCAACAGAAGATGGTTTGTGACCTGCTCAGCGAATTAGACACACACAAATCCATGGGGCCAGACGGATCCACCCAAGAGTACTGAGGGAGCTGGCAGAAGTGTTCACCAAGCCACTTTCCATCATTTATCAGCAGTCCTGGCTAACAGGGGAGGTCCCAGATGACTGCAGGTTGGCAAATGTGATGCCCATTTACAAGAAGGGCCAGAAGGAGGATCCAGGGAACTCTAGGCCTGTCAGTCTGACCTCAGGGCCAGGGAAGGTCATGGAGCGGATCATCTTGAGTGCCACCATGCAGCACATCCAGGACAACCAGAAGATCAGGCCCAGTCAACATGGGTTTATGAAAGGCAGGTCCTGCTTGACTAACCTGATCTCCTTCTACGACCCACTTAATGGACAAGGCTGTGGATGTTGTCTACCTAGACTTCAGTAAAGCCTTTGATACCATTTCCCACAGCATTCTCCTGGAGAAACTGTCTGCCCATGGCTTGGACAGGCATACTCTTTGCTGGATAAAAAACTGGCTGGGTGGCCAGACCCAAAGAGTTGTGGTGAATGGAGTTAAATCCTCTTGGAGGCCGATCACAAGTGATGTTCCCCAGGACTCAGTGTTGGGGCAGGTTCTGTTTAACATCTTTATCAATGACCTGGATGAGGGGATTGAGTGGCACCTTCAGCAGGTTTGCAGGTGGCACTAAGCTGGGTGGGAGTGTTGTTCTGCTTGAGGGTAGAAAGGCTCTGCAGAGGGACCTGGACAGGCTGGATCGATGGGCTGAGGTCAGTTGTATGAGGTTCAACAAGGCCAAGTGCTGAGTCCTGCACTTGAGTCACAACAACCCCATGCAACACTACAGGCCTGGGGATGAGTGGCTGGAAAGCTGCTTGGCAGAGAGGGACCTGGGGGTACTGGTTGACAGCTGACTGAATATGAGCCAGCAGTGTGCTCAGGTGGCCAAGAGGGCCAACAGCATCCTGGATTGTAACAGGAATAGTGTTACCAACAGGACCAGGGAAGTCATCCTTCCCCTGTCCTTGGTATTGGTGAGGCTGCACGTCGAATATTGTGTTCAGCTTTGGGCCCCCTCACTATACAAGAAGGACATTCTGTTGCTGGGACATGTCCAGAGGAGAGCATCAAAGCTGGTGAGGGGTCTGGAGCACAAGTCTTACGAGGAGCAGCTGAGGGAACTGGGGTTGTTTAGCCTGGAGAAGAGAAGGCTGAGGGGAGACCTTATCGCCTTCTTACAGCTACCCGAAAGGAGGTTGTAGTGAGGTGGGTATTGGTCTCTTCTCCCAAGTAACAAGCAATAGGATGAACGGAAATGGTCTGAAGTTGCACCAGGGGAGGTTTTGATTGGATATTAGGAAAAATTTCTTCACCAAAAGGGTTATCAGGCATGGGAACAGGCTATCCAGGGAAGTGGTTGACTCCCTATCCCTGGAGGTATTTAAAAGACGGGTAGACAAGGTGCTTAGGGACATGGTTTAGTAGTGGACAGGTATGGTTGGATTTGATGATCTTAAAGGTCTTTTCCAACCCAATGATTCTGTGATCATTGCAGGTTTGGTACTGTCTCAAAGCAGCGTCTTGGATTTTCATTTCTTAGAGCTCTGTGGCTCCTGGTAAAATACATACTGCTTTTAGAAGTGTTCAGTTAAATATAAAGTGCTATGGTAAAAAAAAAAAAAAAGTTTGTTTTCCATGTATCTGGCAAATTTTATTTTTTTTTTTTTTTTAACTGAGAGCAATTTTGTAACCTCTGCTGCAGGCCTTGTATATGACACCTTGATGCTGAAACACCAGTGTACCTGTGGAAATACAAACAGCCACCCAGAGCATGCAGGGAGGATCCAGAGCATCTGGTCCCGGCTCCAGGAGACGGGTCTCCGTGGCAAGTGTGAGGTAATAAAAACACCAGCGGAGGGGAAGATGAGGTGGTGGGCCTGGGGGGAAAGGGAGAATTTGGATTTGTCTGGCTGATTTGACTGCTGGATTATGAGCATTTTTGGGGGGCTGATTTCTCTTCTGGACAATAGCGTATCTACCAAACCTGCAGCTTGTGCTGTTGATTGCTACCTGGATGTGCAAACTTTATACTGCATTCTGGTTTGAGATTTTTATAGCTCCAGCTGTTGGCAATGTTTTGCCGTATGTGGCCTGAATTTAATCCATTCCTAGGCAACTGCTTCTGCTTGCGTGTGCGTGTCTGTCAGGAGTACTTTTCTAGTGATCTGATTCCATTGCATTGTGGTGGCTGTTAGAAATGTCATGAAATGTTGGAGGATGCTCTTGCCCAATGTTGCAGCGAAGCTGCTTCTGTAATTTTGGGTTCCATTCCCTGTAAACTGCAAGTCCCTACCAAGCGTTGGATTTTGAAGCAGCCAAAGATAAGAGCAAGATACGAAGTAACCGTGTTATTTGTTATCAGTCCAATCATAACAACAAAAGCAACAAGTTCATATTTCTGTGGTTCAATAACTTTTTTAATAGTCTTTGATAAGTAATGGTCAATGTATAGTGAAGAGTCTGTAAAAGGAATGAGGGTAGGAGGATGTAACTAAGCACTCCCTCACGAGAGGTTAAATTAATTGCATTGGACAAACATGTTTTAAGAGCAAGGCAAACAAAGATAAAAGCTTAGATACTCAAATAAAAAGACTAATGATTAACAATGGTGATTAATAATCATTATTCATAGCTAATAGCAGTGATGATGAATTAATGGTAGGGTGTGTTCATTGGTTCTTTGAGCATCTGAGGCGACATGGTATACTTGAGTTATGTCAGCATCTGGTTAGAAATATTTTCTGAGCAGTCAGAAAAGACATCCACATGGTGGCAGCATTGCCGTTGGCTAAAGTTCCCCATTGTGCCCTTATTTATCCCTGAAGAAAGCAAGGAAGAACTTCAAACCTGTTTCTGTCTATGGAGACCCATTTAATTTAATTTTGGGATTATTATTTGGGACCAAAAAAAAAAGTACTGCACTGCTGTCTAGCTCCTCTGTTTAGAAGCAGAAGTTAAATCGTGCAGTACTAATTGCCTTGCCTGCTAGATTTGTGTTACATATGTTCCCTAAGGTGCGAAGTTCTTCACTGTATGATCCCAGTATTATTTTCCTTCATCATATATTTTCAGTTGCTCTCACGATTGGAGTTCTTGTTCCTCTGCTTTCCACCTGTGTTTCCCTTCTGACCATTGGTGACATTCAGCCTCATCTTGACTCTTCCTTTTTCAGAAAATGATAAATACGTGATGTTAACTTTCTGCCTTAATTCTGGTGTTTTCTCTTCTGATGGCTTTCTTCAAGGTCTGACCTGCCATACTGCGCTTGCTTCTCCCTCTAGTTAGCTTTCATTTATTCCCGTTTCCTACTCCCACCCAGATCCACGTTAAAGTTTCCTTCTTTATCTTACCTGTTCTCATGGGCTTGATTGGCACAACCTTTCTCAGTTTCTCCATCTCCTTCCTGCCTCCACACTTCACTCTTCTATTCTTGATAGTTATTCTTCTGGAGCCACTTGTTCACTTTCTGCTGTCCTTGGCTGATGTAATTATTTTCTGCGTTGCAATACCATTTGGTCACTTCCCTGCCCTTCAGAGTCTTTCTGAAGCTCCTGTGTTGGAACCTGTCTATCAGCAAGCAGAGTGGAGGACTGTATAGGGTTTTCCTTCAGTGAAGGTTACCTCCACATCAGGTGCACTTGTATGGCAAGGGGACAGCTTTTTAGACGCAAGTGATCTCTGCTGCTAGGTTGGAGCATGGGGATGAGCTGTTGGCATTGCCTG